TGGCCTCGGCCCCGGCTTTGCAGGCCGGGCTGGGCGAGGGCCTCCCCGTCCCCGTCTTCCTCCTGACCCCCTCTCCGGCTCCCCAGCACCCAGGAGCAGCCAGGGGAAACTGAGGCTCAGCCTCGACCAGGGATTGACCCACCGTCTGATGGCCAGTTGTGGACCCTCCCCAGCTAATAGGACTTAACAGTCATATAGCCACGCCCCCTCCTTGTTGAACGCGCTGTCGTTTTTATCCTCACCTGACAGATAGGGAAACTGAGGTTCGGAGGTGGGAAGGACCCGGGTGCAGTCACAGAGGTAGGAAGTGGAGGGTCTGGGGTCCAAGGCCAGACCAGTACAGAGGCCGAGGTCTTGGCCTTCGAGGGGCCTCTGAGTCCCCTGCTCAGCTTGCTCATTGCTCTCTCACCCCTACAAGCCTCCCTTAAGCCAGACCTCACACCCTTAAGAGGCCTCCCCCACACTCGATGGCTGTGTGTCCACGGACAAATGACTGCGCCCCGCTGAGCCTTAGCTTCTGTTTCTGGTGCTCACCGCACACCGGGGAGAGTGAGGGAGGGCTGTGATGCACGTGGGGTAGTGACGGGCACCTAGAACTGGCCAAACAAACGGGCATCTCGTGATCTGCCCACCATGCTTTTTCTTTTCGTTTGGTCGGTCGTGGGGCCTGAACTCTGGGCCTGGGCGCTGTCTCTCAGCTCTTCAGCTCAAGGCTAGTTCTCTAGCACTTGAACCACAGTGCTACTTCTGGCTTTTTCTGCTTAGGTGGTGCTGAGGAATCGAACCCAGGGTCTCATGCATGCAGGGCAAGCACTCTACCACTGAGCCACCTTCCCAGCCCCACCATGCATTCTTTTCTCCAGACCTTGGCCTTCCCTGTCCCCTGCTGTCCCCATGCCAGTTCAGGCACTTCCCTTTGGGCTCTGGGGAGCCCTGAACTCCAGCACCCCTGGGACCAGGTACTATGCCAAGGATGCTTGCAGGGTACCTGACTGTTCCGTTCCCCAGGGACTTAGAGGGGCACCCTGGCTTTTCCAAAGTCATGTGGTCTGCCCGTAGCTGAGGGCCTTGTCTCTCAGGACCCAGGTCCTGTCAGCAGGAGGGCCTGAGAAGCCCTTTTGGCCCGGCCCTGCCATGAGGACACTTAAAACCACCCTGAGCCAATGAGAACGGGTCTATTTTTAAAGTCTGAATACCAAGAGGCTGAGTCCCATCCACCAGCTGTCCAGAAGCCTCGTGTGGTCCTGTGTTTCAGCTGAGTTGCCTTTAGGACATCACTGGGTGGACACTGAGACTAGTCTCTGGTTCCCAGAGTTGGGGGTAGGGAGTGGGGCAGTAACTGTAAATGGGGTCCTGGGCAGGGTAGAGGAAGCCTTGAGCACCCAGTTTGGTTTGTGGGCAGGTGGCTGCTTGCTCTGTTGTTGCTGAGGCCCCAGCAAACTCAAAAAGGTCTTGCAGGAATTTCTGAATCATGTTTTGAAAACAAAAGTTGAAGCAGGAGACCCATCTGCTAGGCTGATTCTCCACCCAATTTGCTGTGTGACTTCTCTGAGCCTAGTTTTCCCATCTGCTCTACATAAAGAGCCGTTGGTTGTATTGACACCCCCAAGGATGCTATGATTTGGGGGGAGGGTGTAGAAATAAAAACATCCATCCCATTTAAAGGTGGGAAAAGAGGCCTGAGAAGGAAGCAGCTAGTGAAAATGGATCCAGTTCTCTTTGGCTGTGCCTCTCCACCATGGCAGGGGTGGGGGGGGATGCAGCAGTTCAGTAAATAAACTTCTTTTATTGCCTGAAAAAAATGGATTCAGTTGATGATGATAATATTTTAGCCGAGCTTCTGTGCTGAAACTCTTATCCCAAAGTATACCTCCCATAAACACACACACACAGTTACACACTGTCCTTTTTCCTGGAAGTTTCTCTGCGTTCTGACACAGCTATTTGGCTCTAAGGCATGATGGTTGCCCTTTCCTATCCTCTCTTTCTGACCCCACTCTGCCCCACAAGGTCAGAAAAGCTCCAGTCCAAGCCTCCATCACCCTACCATGACCCAGAGGTAGGCATTGTCACCATTCCATTCCCTCCTGACCTCGCCTGGCTCCTTGCCTTCTCTGAGCAGCTCGATGCTAATCCAGTGTTGAAAATCACAGGTGCCCTCCTGGTACAGGGCTAGAGGCTGCCTGGGGGCCCCAGGTCATGAGGTCTGAGCTTGTGCAATTGAGGCCCAGGAGCCCAGGGCACACGGGAAGCAGGTTCTCCTCGGGGGCCACCACCCTGGGCCCACCTTTGCTACCCTTCCTCGCCACCTCATCCCATTTTTCCCTTGAGCCTTCACCCTTGGTGCCTGCAGGAGCCAGAAAGTGGCAATGCCAGCCTGGTGGGAGACGGGTGGACTGGACAGAGGAGTGGGCAGCTGTGACCCGTCTCCTGCCAGTTATTGCCTACAGCCCAGTTGTATTCAAATCTTAGATTTGCTAAAGTTAGAAATCGCCTTCTCATGCTGACTCTTAGTGTTCAGATATCAGGATTAATTCAACTTTTGGGAAGTGCATCTGCAGGCTGGACACAGCGACACGCCCCCTTCTCTCTTCCACGGTCTTCACAGCATTCAAACGCCAGGGACAGACATTGGGCTTTTGGGCTCAGGCCGCGAGGATCCCCTGCTCGGGGTGGGTGGGTAAAGCCTTGGATCTGGTGCCCACCCTGTCAGGGCCAGCTGGGGACGTGTGCACTGCTGGTGTGCTCTCCCAGGGTACACGCGGCTCAGCAGCACGGCCCACGCAGAGGCTTTCAATGTGTGGTCTTGAGGCTGAACCTTTGGGAAATGTGTGATCTTGGGGTGCAGCCCAGCAGAGACTCGCAAGCCCTGATATGTTCTGATACTGGCCCCAGGCCCAGATCATCTAGTCTAAGGGTCAGCAGCTCTGCATTAACTCTTTCCGCGGTAGGTAGACAGGACCAGCCTCCCCCACCTGTCTGGCAGAGGCGTTTCTTGCCCGTGCCTGACTCAGTTTCAGGCCCCGGTGTCCCTGCCTGCTGTTGCTGCGAGATGTGAATGATATTTGCCACAGTGTCAGTGTCTGTCATTTACAGATGCCCACGCCGGGCCTCGCAGCCCCACAAGACAGGCAGAGAGGAAAGGGACTTGCTCAAGTTCACATTTGCACACCACCTACCTCTAAGGCCTATTTAGTCAGTGTCCTCTGTATTCCTAGTGTGCCACCCTGTGGCACACATAGACTACATCGACTTGTGCTCACATAGACCTGAGTCTCCTTGGGCCAGCCCGGCCCTGCCCACAGTCCCGATGAGCCACATGCCCTTGAATCCTGGTGTCACGGTGTACCTCTGGAGGCCTGTCGTTCTGTGCACATCTCCCGGGGCCTGGGAGCTGCTGGTGATCTCCTCCCCCCATCCCCAGGTTCATGGCCACCAGTGACCTGATGTCGGAGCTGCAGAAAGACTCCATCCAGCTGGACGAGGACAGCGAGCGCAAGGTGGTGAAGATGCTGCTGCGGCTGCTGGAGGACAAGAACGGCGAGGTGCAGAACCTGGCTGTCAAGTGGTGCGTGTCGGCCTCAGCGGGGCGGCCGCCCGCGGGGGCCTCGGTCCTGTGTGGGGGCTGCAGCCTCAGAGGTGCTCTCAAGAGAAGAGAGTCGCTAAGCAGCCTTGGGGCCCCTTAGAATCAGACAGTGGCGCGGCTTGGATTGCCCCTGGCAGACTCTGAACCAAGGGCTTGAAGCTCAGTTTACGTGGGAGGTGAGCCCAGAAGAAAGTAGGGACGTGATGGCGGCGCGAGGAGGAGGACAGGCAGTAAAGGGGACTTTCTCAAGCGGGTGGCACGCTGGGAGAGCACTGAGGCTTGAGCTCAGGGCCCCATCCTTGACAGACAGGGTCTGGCCCCTGCGCCACACATCTGCCCCTCTTTCTGCCCTGGTGTTCTGTCTCATGCTCAGGGTGTGCACCTGGACTGCAATCTGCCTATTTCAGGTTTACCATTCTAGCTGGGGTCACAGGCCCGGGACACCACTCCCAACCTCTTTCAGTTGAGATGGAGTGTCGCAGACCTTTCTGTTAGCGCTGGCCTCCCACCTGGATCCCCCTTCTCAGCCTCCCAAGTAGCTAGGATTATAGATGTGAGCCACTGGGGCCTGGCTCGGAGCTTGACTTGTATACACATTGTGGACTCCTGGGACATGGAGTTGCCCATGCAGAGGGTGAGGAAGTGGGGATCAAGGAACCCCCAGGCTGCCAGTGGGAGGATGGAGGGTCCAGGATCCAAGGTCCAAGCATGGTGGCACACAGTGTAATCCTAGCCGGGTGGGGGGGGAGGGAGGGAGAGCCGCCCAGGCCGCATAGTGAAGCGGCCTCTGACTTAGGCTGAGCCTGAGGTTTGGGACCTTTCCCCATCCTCCTTCCCCCAGCCTGGGCCCTCTGGTGAGCAAAGTGAAGGAGTACCAGGTGGAGACGATTGTGGACACCCTGTGTGCCAACATGCGGTCAGACAAGGAGCAGCTCCGGGACATCGCGGGCATCGGCCTCAAGACGGTGCTGTCGGAGCTGCCCCCCGCGGCCACAGGTACCCCGCGCCCCGGGACTCGGCGCCTCCGTCACCCATCCCAGTTTGTGGTTAGAAAACTGCTAGCTGCAAGGGAGGCTGGGAAAGGAAGTGGGCAGGGAGGAGGAGTTGGGGTACACGAGGCAGTCCAGCAGCTCCGTGAGGCTTCTGGTTTGTCTGTGGGCTGCTAGGGCCCTGGTGCCCCTGATCCCCAGGCCTCCTGGGAACACAGCGAGGCCAGAGGCTGCCTTTCCCCACACCCAGCCTCACCGCACACACCTGTGCCCCATGCAGGCTCCGGGCTGGCCATCAATGTGTGCCGGAAGATCACCGGCCAGCTCACCAGCGCCATTGCCCAGCAGGAAGATGTGGCTTTGCAGCTGGAAGCCCTGGACATCCTCTCGGACATGCTGAGCAGGTGAGGGGTCCCCGCGAGACCCATGCAGTGCTGCGCTTGGGCTCCCTGTTGGTCAGCAACCTGAGACGGACGGCTTATGTCATGGGCACCATGGCACGGGTTCTGACGGCAGCATGGTTGGCTCAGTAAAGCACCAGGTGCTAGACCAGGGCCGGAGCTGGTTGCACCTCTGGAGGCCTCATGGGCCCTGGGTACAGCAGCAGGATGCGCTCGCGCGGGGAAGGCCAGTGCTGGTGGAGGGGCGGGGGTGGGAACCAATGGGAACACCTTGTAAACCTGCGTGGAAATGCGACAGGAGTCCTCCACCCCATGGAGGGGACCGGGTGGTTGCTGGAGCAGAGCCTTCAAGGGAAATTAGCACGGTGGACTGGCAGGCGGCCACGAAGGGAAGACCACCCTGGCAAGAAGGCAGCGACAGACGTGGGGTTCGGGGCTTGTGCCGGTGCTGTGGGGCTGGGCTGTAAGGTGGAGGGCGGGCGTGGAGAGACGAGATGGAGATGTGAGCGCCGTGGGGAGGCGGAGGTCTCCAGAGCAAGCTCCCCTCTGTCTGTGGAGGATGGCAGGCTGGGGAAGAGCTGTGCCCCGGTGGTGACCTGGGGTGGTGTGGGGGAGGCGGGCTCCACGGGACTCGGGTGGGCGCAGGAGTGGGGCGTGGAAGGTGATGGGCTCCCCTCGGGCATCGTCGTTGAGGTGCCTGGGAGGTAGCCATGCCCCTGGGGGTCCCCTGAGCACAGGCCGGGGCCCGAGCGGGCGGCCCTGCTGGGCTGTTTCTGGGATGGAAAGTGTGGTGTGGAGGCGGTGGTCGGGGCTGTGTCTGCCTGGTTCCTGTGGTCGGGGCGGAAGTAGATGCGGGGTCCTGGCCACTGTGAGGAGGTGGACTTGGTGGGAGGGGCGGGCCGTCTGCTCAGGCTGGAGGCTGCGCAGCTGGCTCAGTCGGGGCCCTGTTCTTGGCTGAGCCCTTGAGGACTAACTCCCTTCTCTTTTTGCTCTCTGCCCCTGAGGAATAACTCAGTCCCCCCTGGCCGTTGAGGGCATCTTTCCCTTTTCCAAGGATCCCGCGTCGTAACTCCAGGAGGAGGTCCAGAGTGGAGGCAGCGCCTGGCCGCTCTGCCTCCTTCACCTGGTGCCCCTCTGCTCCCCAGGCTGGGCGCCCCGCTGGGCATCTTCCACGCCAGCCTGCTGCACTGCCTGCTGCCGCAGCTGAGCAGCCCACGCCTGGCCGTGCGGAAGCGGGCCGTGGGGGCGCTCGGCCACCTGGCAGCCGCCTGCAGCACCGACCTCTTCGTGGAGCTCGCAGACCACCTGCTGGACCGGCTGCCCGGCCCGCTGGCGCCCGCCAGCCCCACTGCCGTCCGCACCCTCATCCAGTGTTTGGGCAGCGTGGGTCGCCAGGCCGGCCATCGCCTGGGTGAGGGACGGGGCCAAAAGGGAGGAGAGCTGTGGGAGGAAGGGAGAGAGAGAGAGAGAGAGAGAGAGAGAGAGAGAGAGCATGCATCAGCGCACACACAGTGAAAGGCCTGGAGGGAAGGTGAGGGGCTGGGAAGGGGGTGCAGGCGTGGCGGAGTTGCGTGGGTTTGGAGGAGTGAGCGGGCCTTAGTGCTGGCCTACAAGGCCTCTCTGGGAAAGGCCGTAATTGTGAGCCGTGCCACTGAGCCCTTCAAAAATGTCCTACCTCCTACTTGGCCAGGTTTTCCTTCAGCAGTCTGTAAGCCAGGTCTGCATGTTTAAAAGCTGTACAGGGGAGGCTGTGCTGTAGTTGGCCACACTGGCGTGTAGCCCTCTGTGTTCTGACTCTCGTGTACACCCTGGAATCCTGATCACAGGCAATGTGCAGGACTTGTCCAGCACCCCACATTTCCCCACCCTTGGCGAACTGGCCTTCCTCAGGGAGCACAGCCCGGCAGGTCTGCCCTAGCCCCGAGAAGGCATTGTGGGCAGAGCTAGCCCACCGTGGCTCCCATGGGCCCAGCATGCCCCTCAGGAGGTGGGCTTGGGAGAGAGGCCTGCACATGTCCAGGGTTGGCTGAGCAGGAAAGTGTGGGGTGTGGAAGGTGATGTTGGGGTCCTCAGGCCAGCATGTTTCTTGCTCTGCGGAGAAGACTGCCACTGGAGAGGGTCCCAGAGATCCTTTAATGCCTAAGGACCAGACCTGTGAAGGCAGCGCTGTCCCCCCACTTGTGTGTGGGGCTCACACCCCATGCAGGGATTAGGCAGAGTCATGAATGCTCCCTACTTACCAGGGCCTGCTGTGTGCTGTGTGAGGTCCCAGGTCAATTCCGTCCATGTCCGCCATTCTTCCTCCCTCCCTGGCTGCCAGCCAGCCATGGGGATCTGTCAGGAAGTCTGTGACCAGCCGGCCTGCTTGTGGTGCCTGAGTTGGGTTTGCAGTGGCCAGGGCTGAGGTGCACACGGGCTGGGCGTGGGGCGGGGGCTCTGCGAGGGTCTGGCCCCTTCAGCGACCCTTGGCTCTGCAGGGGCCCACCTGGACCGCCTGGTGCCCCTGGTAGCAGAGTTCTGCAACCTGGATGATGACGAGCTCCGGGAGTCCTGCCTCCAGGCCTTCGAGGCCTTCCTGCGGAGGTGGGTGGCGGGGCCGGGCCCGGGGCCCGGGCTGGGGCCAGTGCTGGGGCCGGGGCTGGGGCCTGGAGTTGTTGGGGAGGGGGACAGAACGCTGGCTTCCTGACAGTAAGGCCTTGGGACTCAGCCTCATGTTGCACCCCGTGCACCCGCCCCGCAGGTGCCCCAAGGAGATGAGCCCCCACGTACCCAGGGTGACCAGCCTCTGCCTCCAGTTCATGAAGCATGACCCCAACTATAACCACGACAGTGACGAGGATGAGGAGCAGATGGAGACCAGCGACAGCGAGCTCAGCGAGACAGGTTGGGGTTGGGGCGTGGCAGGGGTGGGCGTAGCTTTCCTGGAGTCTCCTTGCCAAAGCCTTGATGCCATGTCCGTGGTTGTAGTGGTCACAGCGAGGGAAGCGCCACGGTGGCTCCTTTGTGTCCACAGTCAACCAGCTGCAGACTGAAAATACGCATCTGCACTGAACACGCTCGCCCTGCTGTCACTGACCCTTAACGATGCGACGTAGATGCTGCTTCCATAATGCAAAAATCACATGAGATGTGCTAAATTGTATTGAGAAGCTACGCATCAAGCTATTTTCTAGAAGGGTTGATATCTTTGGTTGTGTTTTGTTTGTTTGTTTGTTTTTGCTAGGCCTGGGGCTTGGATTCAAGCCTGGGCACTGCTTCTGAGCTGCTTTTGCTCAAGCGAGCACTCTACCACTTGAGCCACAGCACCACTTCTGGCTTTTTCTGTGTATGTGGTACTGAGGAATGGAACCCAGGGCTTCATGCATGCTAGGCAATTACTCTACCACTGAGCCACATTCCCAGCCCTCTTCGTTTTTCTTTTTGCCAGACTTGGGGTTTGAACTCTGGGCCTGGGCACTGTCCCTGAGCCTCTCTGTGCTCAAGGTGAGCACTCTACTACTTGAGCCACAGCACTACTTCCGGCTTTTTCTGTGTATGTGGCACTGAGGAATCGAACCCAGGGCTTTCATGCATGCTAGGCAAGCACTCTACCACTGAGCCACCTTCCCAGCCCTATCTTTGGTTTGAATGTCCAGGGGGTCAAGGCCTGTGACAGCGGCCACCTTGGGGCACCCACTGGTGTCTGAGCTTTGTTCCTCCATGTTCCTCACAACCACCCAAATAGACAAACACGGACAGTGAGGCCTGGAGTCACACAGGTGTGGCGGGCACCAGAGGGGGCCGCGGGCAGGCCTCGGGCTTGTGGTCAGGCAGCTTCCGCCTTGGCACACAGGAGGTTTTGCCCAAGGTGCTGCCGTTCCTATCGGATGTGAATACTGGCCAACAGGTGAAGCGCTGGGCCGGCCCCCCTCTCCCCGCACGTGGGCAGCCGTCCCGGGCCACGGGGGTTCCACGGGTGTCTTCTTCCCGCCCCAGAGAGTGAGGATGAGTACAGTGACGATGACGACATGAGCTGGAAGGTTCGCCGGGCGGCAGCCAAGTGCCTCACCGCGCTGATCGCCTCGCGGCCCGACCTGCTGCCCGATTTCCACTGCACCCTGGCGCCCGTGCTCATCCGGCGCTTCAGGGACCGGGAGGAGAACGTCAAGGCCGATATCTTCGGGGCGTACATCATGCTGCTACGACAGACACGGCCCCCCAAGGGGTGGCTGGAGGCGGTGGAGGAGCCCACCCGCACCGGCAGCAACCGCCACATGCTGCGGACCCAGGTGAGCTGGCCTGTGCCCACTCCCGGCCCCCTCCGGTCTGTCCCCGCACCTCCATCCGCCACCCTCCTGTCCTTCCATCCACTGCCCGTGCCTGGACACCGAGGGGACAGTCTGGCTGGAGTCTCTGCCCCCTCCCGTCGCACAGCTCAGTCTCCGGGCAGCTTCTGAAAGGGGTAAGGACTTCGTGTTATTCTAAGAGCCAGCAAGGCCATGGGCCGCGAGTGGCCAGGTCCTGTTGGTGTCACGCCAGCTCACTCCAGCTGCTAGGTGGGAGCGGTAGTAATGGAGCGGTAGTAACCGAGGCCGAGGGGGGTGGGGAATGGGGTGGCTGTCCCGATGTCAGGAGATGGCGCCTTGGGCCCAGTGGCAGCAGAGAGGTTGAGAGCAACGGTCAGGCCGGAGAAGTGGCTTTTAGGTTGCCTGGTAAGATCTGGCTGATGGGCTGTGTCTGGGACAGGCAGGTGTCACGTGACTTTGGGTGTCTGGTCCAAGCATGAAGCTCAGTCCCCTGGGATATGGGAGACAGTGGAGTGGGGAGGGGACAGGTACACTTCTCCAGGTTTGCGTTGGATGGCTCTAAACAGCCTGTTTTCTGTTACTTTGACCCAGTCAGACTGGGTGTCAGTGGTGTTGGTGGAGAATGCAGCAGAGGAAGGGTGCCGGGCCACTGCTCCTTCCTGAGGGCACTGGTAACCTTCCCCTGGCGCTCCGCCTCTACCTGTAGAGTAGATACAGGAGGTTCCCGTGTCTGTGCACTGTTCCCAGGTGCTAGGCGGGGGGGAGGGGGGGGAGGTGCCAGACAGCTGTCTGCCCACGCCTGGCCAGTCCCTGAGCTCGCGCCTCGCCTGCCCACAGGTGCCTCTGGTGATCAAGGCCCTGCAGCGGCAGCTCAAAGACCGCAGCGTCCGGGCCCGCCAGGGCTGCTTCAGCCTTCTCTCCGAGCTGGCGGCCGCCCTCCCTGGGAGCCTGGCTGAGCACATGCCTGTTTTGGTGTCAGGTAGGCTAGATGTCTGTTCCCTGGGCCTCTTCCAGAACCCAAATTCCTGCCTGGGTTGAGCCCCTTGTCTAGGCTGAGCCCCCGTGTGGCAGCGTGGGGGATCCCGGTTCTGAGCGAGTCCCCAGCCTGTTCCCTCTGCCCTGGCTCCTGCCACGTGGTGGTCTCTGGGAAGCTTGTGTGGAAGAGCTAAGTGCTCTGGCTCATCCCAGGAGACTCCGTCCCTGCTTCCCGGAGGGCTGCTTGGGGTCCGGGTCTACGGCCCCTGACCTTCGTACCCACCCCGCAGGCATCGTCTTCTCCCTGGCTGACCGCTCCAGCTCCTCCACCATCCGGATGGATGCCCTGGCCTTTCTGCAAGGGCTGCTGGGCACAGAGCCAGCTGGGGCCTTCCACCCACACCTACCCACCTTCCTGCCGCCGGTGCTGGCCTGTGTCGCCGATCCTTTCTATAAGATCGCGGCCGAGGCGCTGCTGGTGCTGCAGGAGCTGGTGCGCGCCATGTGGCCGCTGGAGAGGCCCCGGATGCTGGACCCGGAGCCCTACGTTGGGGAGATGTCCATGGCCATCCTAGCACGACTCCGTGCCACAGACCTGGACCAGGAGGTGAAGGAGCGGGCCATCTCCTGCATGGGCCACCTGGTGGGCCACCTGGGTGACCGGCTCGGGGACGACCTGGACCCCACCCTGCTGCTCTTCCTGGAGCGTCTGAGGAACGAGATCACCCGCCTGCCCGCGGTCAAGGCGCTGACGCTGGTGGCCAGGTCCCCACTGCAGCTTGACCTGCAGCCCATTCTGGCCGAAGCACTGCCCATCCTGGCCTCGTTCCTGCGCAAGAACCAGCGGGCACTGCGGCTGGCGACCCTGGCCGCCCTGGACGCGCTGGCCCAGAGCCAGGGCCTCAGCCTCCCGCAGCCTGCTGTGCGCACCGTGCTGGCCGAGCTGCCGGCTCTGGTCAGCGAGAGCGACATGCACGTGGCTCAGCTGGCCGTGGACTTCCTGGCCACGGTGACCCAGGCCCAGCCCACCTCTCTAACTGAGGTCAGCGGCCCAGTCCTGACGGAGCTGCTGAAGCTGCTGCGGTCCCCGCTGCTGCCCGCGGGGGTGCTGGCCGCCACCGAGGGCTTCCTGCAGGCCCTGGTGGGGACCCGGCCCCCCTGCATGGACTACACGGAGCTCATCAGCCTGCTCACGGCGCCCGTGTATGACCAGACCGGGGACGGCGGGATGGGCCTCCACAAGCAGGTGTTCCACTCCCTGGCCAGGTGTGTGGCCGCGCTGTCGGCTGCCTGTCCCCAGGAGGCGGCGCGCACCGCCAGCCGCCTGGTCTGTGACGCCAAGTCGCCCCACTCGAGCACAGGGGTCAAGGTGCTGGCATTCTTGTCCCTGGCTGAGGTGGGCCAGATGGCGGGGCCCGGCCCCCAGCGGGAGCTGAAGACCGTGCTCCTGGATGCCCTGGGGTCGCCCAGTGAGGACGTGAGGGCCGCGGCCTCGTACGCGCTGGGCCGCGTGGGTGCCGGCAACCTGCCCGACTTCCTGCCCTTCCTGATGGCGCAGATCGGGGCGGAGCCGCGGCGGCAGTACCTGCTGCTGCAGGCGCTCCGGGAGGCCCTGGGGGCCGCCCAGCCCGACAGTCTGAAGCCCTACGCCGAGGCCGTCTGGGCCCTGCTCTTCCAGCGCTGCGAGGACGCCGAGGAGGGCACCCGCAGCGTGGTGGCCGAGTGCATCGGGAAGCTGGTGCTCGTGAACCCTCCTTTCCTTCTGCCCCGCTTCCGGAAGCAGCTGGCTACGGGTAAGGGCACACAGATGCGTGGGGTGGGGGCACCCAGGTGCTCATGCTGAGTCAGCTGCTACATCACTGGGCACCAGAATCCCCGTGCCCATCCACCGAGGCAGAGGAGCACAGAGGAGTGCGGACCTCCTCCGGCAGCGCCAGTGGGCCGGGGAGGAGGACCTGATGTGTCCCTGCAGAAAGTGCAGTCCACCCTCGTGCCCACGGGCTGCGTCCATGGACAGCCAGCACCTGCAGTACATTTTTGTCATCGTTGGTTTTGGTGCTGGTTTGGGGGCTTGACCTCAGAGCCTGGGTGCTACTATCCCTGAGCTTTTTAAAAAATTTGATCAAAGGGGGCTGGGAAGGTGGCTCAGTGGTAGAGCACTTGCCTTGCATGCCTGAGGCCCTGGGTTCGATTCCTCAGCACCACATAAACAAAAAGAAAAAAGCCGGAAGTGGCGCTGTGGCTCAAGAGGTAGAGCGCTAGCCTTGAGCTGAAGAGCTGAGGGACAGCGCCCAGGCCGAATTCAGACCCCACGACCAGACCCAAAAAAAAAAATTTGATCAAGGGTAGTACTCTACTCCTTGAGCCACAACCATTTGCAGCTTTTTGGTAGTTAACTGGAGATAGGAATCTCTCCTGCGTGAGCTGGCTTCAAACCAGCATCCTCAGCTCTCATCCTTCTGAGTAGCTAGAGTTACAGGTGTGAGCCAGCAGCACCTGGCTCTTTTTTCCTAAATCACAGCTCTTGGTGGGCCACCGAAAGAGCGTGGGATGACTGTGCGTCTGTACGAGTGCTACAGACCGTGGCATGCCACAGGAGGGACTTGGGCATCCTTGGGATGTGTATCCTGGAGGTAGCCCCCTGAGGGTACAGGGAGCAAATATACAACTGCGCTCCAGCAAAGGCTGCTGAAGTGGTTTCCTGAGGGGCCCGGGCCTCAGAGGGGCGGGGCGCACACTCCAGCGCGCTCGTGCACGGCGCGGGGAGGATGTGTCCCATCAGGAGGGGTGCAGAGGGTGTGTGAAACCCCCCAGAGAAGACAGGCAGGTAGGGGTGAGCAAAGGCCCCAGCAGGGAGCGCCGCCAGGCTCTGGTAGGAGGGGTGGGTAATGGTGGACATAACGCAAGTGACATGCTGTGTTTCAAGACTGACAGATGCAGCTGGGCGCCAGTGGCTCACGCCTGTCATCCTAGACACTCAGGCGGCTGAGATCTAAAGATCGTGGTTCAAAGCCAGCCCGGGCAGGAAAGACCGTGAGACTCCTATCTCCAATAAACCACTAAAAAACCAGAAGTGACGCCGTAGCTCAAGTGGTAGAGCGCTCGTCTTGAGCTGAAGAGTGCAGGGACAGCGCCCAAGCCCAGAGTTCAAGCCCCACAACCGACAAAAAAAAGACTGAGGAGACTCTGGGTATGGAACCAGGAGGAGGCTGTGGCTGCCACGGGTGCCGTGGGCAGAGGCCCACGGGCGGTGCTCGGTTGATCAGAGGCGGCCGCTGACCCTCGGCACTCACCGCATGCGCACAGGTTGTGGAGGACGTTTCTGTCATTTTCTACCCAGCCTTCAGCTCACTGGCCACATTTCCTTCTCACCAGGACAGCTCAGAGGCCCGCCCCAGCAGGCTCTGGGGCTTTCTTAGTTGGCTCTGCCACACACTCCTCCCGCCTTCCACTGTGCCGCCTTTCTCTTGTCTGCTTTGGTCCTGTTCTCCTGGTCTTCAGTCCCGGTAGTCCGAGCAAGCCATTCAGAGGGAAACGTCCTTCCCATTGGGACGCATGCGATGCCTCTCCTCACTGAGGGAAATGTCCTTCCCTCCCTTCAGCGTCTCCACTTGGAAAGCCAGCAGCAGCAGTGAGGGGTTTCTTCTTTGCAAAGCTGGTGGTGGTCTGGGGGTGGTGGCCTCCTTGGCCCCTGCCACACACTCAGGCCCAGCCGGGACTCTGAATCTGCTGTGTGGCCTCAGGTGTGAGCTTAGCTCTGAGTCTTGTGTGAAACACATTACTAATCCTTTTTATCCTTTTTTTTTTTTTTGGTCGGCTGTGGGGCTTGAACTCTGGGCCTGACCCCTGACCCTCAGCTCTTCAGCTCAAAGCAGGCGCTCTACCACTTGAGTCACAGCACCACTTGCAGCTTTTTCTGAGTGGTTTGTTGGAAAAGAGTCTCATGGACTTTCCTGCCTGGGCTGGCTTTGAACCAGGATCCTCGGGTCTCAGCCTCTTGAGTAGCTAGGACTACAGGCGTGAGCCACCAGCGCTCGGCTAATGTTTGTTATTATGTAGTAGTGGGAGCTTCGGAGGACTGAGAACATGAGTCCCAACACCTGCGGTCTCAAGACAGAAGGGAAAGGTCCTCTGTGTCCTTAGCACGAGAGGAAGAACCCGGGCCTGGCCAAGGCTGTCAAGGAGAATGGGTCTTGCGGGTGGGGGCGGCTGGTCCAGGGCAGGGCTCTAAGTCAGCCCCTCCCCTTTGTAAGCCACGCCCTCCCGCCTTGCAGGTCAGCCACACACACGGAGCACAGTCATCACATCTGTCAAGTTCCTCATTTCGGACCAGCCCCATCCCATCGACGCCCTCCTGAAGAGCTATGTCGGTGAGCCTCCCTGCCTACCCGTCTAGCGCCCGCATCCCGGATCAGGCTGGGGTTTCTTACAGCCAAAGAGCCTCTTCTCACAATGGAGACCCGAGTTCTGATTCCTAGGCTATTACCACTGAAGCCTCCTCACCGCTGAGTCTGTTTCCTTATTCATCAAATGGGCATGAGGCATCCTGGAGAGCATCGTGGAGACCCAGGGTGGCCGGTGAGGGCAGTGCCATCGCCTGAGCCTGTAACCTCCCTCCACTGTCCCTGAAGAGAGAGGCCTTCAGACCAGAGATGCCTGGGGGCCTTTGCTGGGAAGAGGCCTCCTCCACCTTAGGCTCTGTGGGGGTAGGCTGCTCCTCACCCCGCCTGAGCCTGTAGCCTTCCGCCTGTTGGATGCTCAGCACCTCAGGAGGATTTCTAACTGACTGCCATTGTGAGCGTAGGCTGTTTGTCTCCTCCCTAACTATAAAATGGCAGGCTGTCTGCAACCAAAGGGTCAGTGATGTGGCCACCTGAGTTAGGGAGCCTGTCCTGAGGCTCAGATGTAGCTGCCCCCCCAGGCACAAGCGTGCCTCCCTGCTGGGCTTCTCATCCTGACTGAGCAGGTGCTTAGCAGGCGCAGGGCCCTGGCTTCCATCCCCACAACGGGAAGAAATAAATAGAACTTTTTTCCCAGCTGGGCGCTGGTGGCTCACACCTGTAATCCTAGCTACTTCAGGAGGTTGAGATCTGAGGGTCACAGTTCAAAGCCAGGAGACTCTTAGCTCCAGTTAACCATCAAAAAGTCAGATGGGCGCTGGTGGCTCATGCCTATAATTCTAGCTACTCAGGAGGCTGAGGTCTGAAAGTCAGGTCTAGGCAGAAAAGTTCCTATGAGACTCTTTCCTCCACTTTGAGCTGTGGCTGAAAGTGATAGAACACTAGCCTTGAGCAAAGAGAACTCAGAGACAACACCCAGGTCCTGAGTTCAAGCCTGACCACAACCGGGAAAAAAAAGGCAGAAGCAGAGCTGTGGCTAAAGAGAGTGCTAGCCTTGAATGAAAAAGCTCAGGGACAATCCCGCACCCATGCCCTCAATTCAAGCCCCAGTAGCACTGGCACACATGCACACATGTACACACACAAGCTCTAGGGCGCTGGCAGTGTAGCTCAATGGTAGAGCACCTGTCTACCACACTCAAGGCCCTGGATTTGATCTTCTGTACCCCACCAAAATAAAACATGAGTTCTCCCCAGTACAAAGGCCCACTGAGAGCGCTGTGTGGGTCTAGGCTCCTCGCCTCCTGTTCCCAGAACCTGTGTGACGGGTTGGCACTGCCTCTGTGCAAGGCAGCGTTTTCTAGACTGCCTCGTTTCAAGTCAAAAGCCATCACCAGGTCCTGTGGTTCTTCCGGTTTTACTGAGGAGGCCACCGGGGCTCTCGGGCCCACAGTTCCACAGCATCTGCAGTGGAAGGCAGCCTTTGCGTGCCCTGCACGGAGCAAAGGCGTGGCCTGGGCGTGGCTCATATTTTCACTGTGTCTCTGCAGGAGAGTTCATGGAGAGCCTGCGGGACCCAGACCTGAATGTGCGCCGCGCCACTCTGGCCTTCTTCAACTCAGCCGTGCACAACAAGCCCTCGTTGGTCCGAGACCTGCTGGGCCACATCCTGCCCCTGCTCTACCAGGAGACCAAGGTCCGCCGGGACCTCATTCGAGAGGTGCGTGCCGAGCGGCGCCACTGGCAGGCCACTGCCTGCCCTCCACTTCCCAGGGGGTGGCCCTGGCCTGGGCGTCTGACCCCCTTTGAACCCCAGTTTGTCACAGCAAAAAGGAGAATCAACAGGTCTGCAGCCCGGTGAGGAGTGAAGCTCCCTTCCTGTACTGCAGATGTCAACATGACCCCCCAAGGAGAAAGTTCCCACCCGGCCTCCTGAAGCACACACCGGCTAGGCACCATGGCGCATGCCTTCAATGCTAGCCGCGCAGGAGCCTGCCCCCTGAGGAGCATAGTTTGAAGTCAGCTCAGGCAAACCCGAGACACTCCAGTGCCAGAAGCAATGATGCGGCTTCAGTGGTGGGGTGGCAGCCTTGAGCAGAAAGCTGAGTGGCGGCATGCGGCCCCCGGTTAAAGCCCTTCAGGTTGTATGTGGAAGGCCTGTGTGAATAGAAGTGTGAGGTTTGTGTTTTGACTTCGGTCCCATCCCTAAGATAACTCGTTATGGATATGCAAGTATTTCAAAATCCCCACGCTTGAAGCATCTGGGATACGCTGCTCCGCCTGCAAAGGCTGGGGGCTGTGCTGTGGTCACTCCACATCAGCACCAGGTCTGAGTGCTGGGACCAGCGGGACCAGCGGGACCAGCTGTGGCTTCTTGCCAAGGCTCCTAGGGGCCTCTGCTCTGCCTCCTGTCTGAGAGCCTTACGGGGCTGATACGGGGGGGGGAGGGGGGGGAGGTATGCACGGAGCGTAGGGGTGATTGACAGCTCCATCAGCACCAACTGTCACCACAACTCAGCACCACCTCTTCTGAGAGGGTTGGAAAGGTTTCCCAGAGGGGGCATTTGAGCTGGGTTTTGAGACAGGAAGTTTGCCATTGAAAGCAGAGTCTCATGGTTAAATGGCTCAACCAGGTTTCTAATTTTGGTTCAGTCGCTTAGCAGCTTTGTGCCTACAGCATGTAGGCCACATGCAAACACCACGGGGCCTGTGTCCACAGGTGGAGATGGGGCCCTTTAAGCACACGGTGGACGACGGGCTGGACGTGCGGAAGGCGGCCTTCGAGTGCATGTACTCGCTGCTGGAGAGCTGCCTGGGCCAGCTGGACATCTGCGAGTTCCTCAACCATGTGGAGGACGGGCTCAAGGACCACTACGACATCCGGGTAGGACAGCGCCTCCCCCAGCCCTGCCTGCCAGCGACAGCCAGAGCCTTGGGCCCGCTGGGCCACGCGGGCCTGCTTTCCATGTCAGCCCCTTTTGTGGGAGTTGACATGGCATGCCGGGGTGTCCTCACAGCCCCTGGAAACAGGGAGGTGCGGCTCCCTAAATACCCATGGCAGAGCCTGTGCGGTGGCCTGGGCTGTCCCTGTGTCTGCAGCGGGGGCACTCAGAGACCCAGGATCCCCAAGACTGGTAGGAGTGACAGCCCGTTCCCCACCTGCCCCGTCATCTTCCCAGCCGGCGTGCTGGGTCCCAGGCAGGGAGGAGCTAAGCTTACTATGTGTATTATATACTAGATATGCTACATGTATGTACTACGGAACTAGCATATGACGTATACTATATGTAGAACATACCTTATTGCTTATAACTCATACATATAGTACATATATATTGTATATGTAGCATATATACGTAGTATATACATTATATACTAGTTTTTTTAATGGCTCACACACAAAAATGCAAAATTTGCCATTTTAACCTTTTTTTTTCCTTGATGCTGGGGATTAGACCCAAGGCCCTCGGCCTGCGAAGTGTGAGCTCCGCCCTGGCCACACCCCAGCCCCGTCTTGTTTTGTGTCCTGTTTGGTGGCTTTAAGCACATCACACTGTCACGCAACCACCTGACTTGCACATCACCTTCCACACTCCACCCCCACTAACCCTACCGTCTGTGACTGTGACCATTCTAGACATTCTCGGAAGTGGAATCACAAGGTATTTTTCCTTCCTGGTGGGCTGTTTCACTTAGCGTACTACCCATGGAAGTTCATCTGTGTGGTAGCCTGTCTTCATAATTTCATTCTTTGTGGCTGAATAATATTCCACAACCACTTAATGCATTGATATGTGCGTGGACACTTCACCTTCTGGCTACTGTGAACAGTGGTAGGGTGGACATGGTCACCTTTGAAAGCTGGTATTCAGTTCTTTCAGGTGCATACTCAAACTGCTGGATCATGCAGCACTTCTGCTTAGTTTTTCAAGGATGTTTAAATATCTACAATTACCATGAATCAATCTGATAATGCAAAACCTAATCAGAGCAACCAAAGTAATACAGGCTTGTTTGAGAAGATTTATACAAGACAAAAGCAAATAAAGAAGCAAGTAATAGCCAGGCCCCATGGCTCATACCTGTAATCTTAGATACTCAGGAGGCTGAGATCTGAAGACCACAGCTTGTGACAGCCCAGGCAGGAAAGTCTGTGAGACTTTTTTTTTTTGGTCGGTCGTGGGGCTTGAACACTGGGCCTGAGCGCTGTCCTGAGCTCTTCAGCTCAAGGCTAGTGCTCTACCACTTGAGCCACAACACCACTTCCAGCTTTTTCTGCTGATGTGGTGCTGAGGAATCAAACCCAGGGCCTCATGCTTGCAAGGCAATCACTGTACCACTGAGCCCCGTGACTCTTTTTTTTTTTTGTCTTTTTCTTTTTTTGGTACTGGGGATCGAACCCAGGACGTTGCACTTGCTAGGCAAGTGCTTTGCCACTGAGCTACATCCCAGCTCCCGTGACTCTTATTTCCAGTAAACCACTAAGCGCCAGAAGGGGCTCAGATGGTAGAGCGCTAGCCTTGAGCACAAGAATTCATGGTCAGTGCCAGGCTCAAGCCCCAGGACTGGCAAAAAATGGAAAAAAGAAGCAAGTAATAATTCCCCAGACTTCTGTGCAGGGGGCCACCGTGACAAACCTCGGTGTGACTGGTTTAGTTAGTGAGTCAGTATTTGGGGAGTGCAGGAGAGAGATTGACATATGCTGGTCTGGACTCTGGGTTGTTTGTTTGGTGGTACTAGGGTTTGTGAACTCAGCTTTGAGCTTGCTAGGCAAAGAGCTTTTCCACTTAAGCCATGCACCCAGCCCTTCTTGCTCTGGTTGGTTTTTCAGATAGGATTTTACTCCTGTTTTTTTTTTGCCTGAGTAGCCCTGGAGGTCCATCCTCTACCTCTGCCGCTTGAGTAGCTAAGATTGCAGGCATACGCTACCATGTACAGCCTTTTTGGGGGAGATAGGGAGGGGCAACAGAGGAGTTTGAGCTCAAGGTCTCCCCCTTGCTGGGCAGCACTCCACGACATCCTAGGCCTGCTGGTCAGGTTAGCTTTGGAGATGGGAGTCTAGCACACTTTCCGACCCAGGCTGGCCTGAAACTACATTCTCGACTGAGTGCTGAGCTTGCTCCTTTTACAACTCAGTTACCACTGTGTGCCCTCCAGAGCCAGGCCTGTGCTCCCTGTTGATTCCAGCAGCATCTGAACTCAAGACCCGCTCCTTCCCGCTCCACTGGAGAGCTAAGTGTAGCTGGCAAAGGTCAGGTCACCAACCACACGGCCTAGATGAGGAAGCTGAGGCTTAGGAAGGGGGCACTTGGACAGCTCCGGCCTGGGACTTGGGATTGGTTTGGACTTGGGCTTTTCTCCCTCTTGCTCGTGGGCCATTTCACCAAGAACAGGATCTCCTTTCTCTTGGGTAGATGCTGACCTTCATCATGCTGGCCCGCCTGGCCACGCTATGCCCGGCACCCGTCCTGCAGAGGGTGGACCGACTGATCGAGCCACTCAGGGCCACCTGCACAGCTAAGGTAAGGTCCTTGTGCAGCCTGACCCAGGCTCTGGGCACTGACTGGGCCTCCAGGGCCTCGCTGGGTTGTGTGCAGCACAGGGCAGCTGAGCCAGATTGAGACCTGGCTATTTTCTCATTTAAGCCATCCCCCACCCTCGGACGGCCTCATTCCTCCCTGTCCGTTCCCGTGCGTGGGTGGGAAGCCTGGGGTGTAGAGCAAGGCTCACACTAGACCTGAGGGTCTCAGAGTCCCAAGGAGAGGGGCCTGGGCAGGAGATCCCGGGAAAACTGCAGCACTAAGAGCAGAGCCTGTTTGATGGAAGGGCAAGAATTCACCACAAACAGGCGTTTACAGAGGAGACTCAGCGCTGGATTGTCTTAAGCCCCCTCCCAGCTCAGCCTCCCAGCACTGGAACTGGAGGTGCCTAAGCAGAGATTTTCACATTGCTTTTCTCAGAAAAGACAATCTTGTGCAGATAAAGCAGATTAAGCCTGAGTGATTCATTGGTTGAAACCTGCCTGGTACATTTAAATTTTTAACATATGCTCAGTGTCAAGTTAGTCCATGGGACTGGAGGGCATGGCTCTAGTTGGTAGAGCACCAGCCAGTAAGCAAAAGCATCATGAGTTCAAGTCCCAGTCTCAGACACACACACACAAACACACACACACACACACAAAGTCCATAAAAATGGTAACGAGCTGAGCTCTGATGGCTCTCTCATGTAATCCTAGCTACTTGAAAGGTAGAGATCAGGAGGATCAGTTTTGGGCCAGCCTAAACAACATGAAATCCTGTCTTAAGTCAGTAGCTGGAATGTGGCATACACCTGTTATCCTAGTGAGGCATGAGGTGTAATCGGGCAGATTGTGAGCCAGGGATGCTACTTACAATGAATGCAAGTTCATACCTGCACTCCTGTCTACTCAAGAAGCTGGGAGTCTGAGGATCAAGGCTTAAAGCTAGCCCAGGCAGGAAAGTCTGTGAGACTGGTATCCAGTTAATTACAGGAAAAGCTGGTAGTGGAGCTATGGCTCAAATGGTAGAGCTCTAGCCTTGAGCACAAAAGCTCTGGGATAGTGTCTAGACTTTGAGTTCACGTCTCAGTACCTGCAACCCCCGCCAAAAAAAGAAAGTGCAGTGAGAAAGCCAGGTGCTGCTGGCAGCTCACACTTGCAATCCTGGTTTCTCAGGAGGCTGAGATCTATCGCTTTTATAGCATTAAAAAGAATTTGCAAGGCCACTGAAGACCTGGCATTGAGGCCAACCAGTCTCCTTTGAGCTGTGCTGTGTGCCTTGGGGAAGCCGCTTGAAATCCCCGGCATCCTACCCAGAGAGGCCAGAGCAGCGTTTCCTGGTCAGCAGGCCCAGGGTCCTGATTTCAAGTGCTGTCCCACACTTGATTCTTAGGGGAAGAGCAGGGTGAGGGCTTCCTCGCAGGGATGGAGACTTCCTGAGCGAGAGCAGGAAGTTCTCTGCAGCCCGGGCGTGGGTCCTGGCAGGAGGGACACGCCATGTGGCTGCTCTTGCTGTCAGATTGCTGACAGTTTCTAGAGGCTACCCCAAAGCTGCTGTGTATGGTTGGCGGGGCGGGGGGAACAGATGCAGGCTGGGGGCCCCAGCTTGCGTGGGGAGGCGGGAGGCTGTCTGGGAGCAGGCTCACTAGAGGATGCCTTCCTCCGTCTCCACTTTAGGTCAAGGCCGGCTCTGTGAAGCAGGAGTTTGAGAAGCAAGATGAACTGAAGCGCTCAGCCATGAGGGCGGTGGCCGCCCTGCTGACCATCCCGGAAGTGGGCAAGAGCCCCATCATGGCTGACTTCTCCGCCCAAATCCGATCTAACCCTGAGCTTGCCACCCTCTTTGAGAGCATCCAGGATTCTGCTCCGGCCCCCAGCACGGATTCCATGGAGCTCAGCTAGTGGGGAGAGCCCTGACAAGCCCGGCCTCCCTCCCCCTCCTGCTTCCCTCTTCTTCCTACAGGGGCTCCTGCCCCTGTTCCAGTGCCTTCCGCAGGGTCTGGCCCACAGACCCCAGCCTGAGCAGAGGCCTTTTACCTCAGGATGGCTCCCAGTGACCCCCACCATGCCAAACCTCCAAAGCTGGGGAGCCCCCTCTCCTCTGCACAGCTGGCACCCCACTCCCTCCTGATCTGGGTTGGCTGCGGCTCCACCCCGCCCCGCCGCAACTCCCCCCAGGGCCTGGCGTGCCCAGGAGGCAGCGTGCCCCCGCCAAAAAGCTTTATTCCTACTTTACACCAACCATCGAGAAGATGCCAAGGTCGGAAGATGGGGTGGGTAACCAGCAGTCTTAGACCCGACTACTTTCCAATTTCATCACCACCCAGGTGTGAGCACTGCCTCCTGTCCTTCTCAAAGTTTAAAATGTGTTACTTCTAGTTTTGTTTTTTTAGTATTGAAGACACAAATATGACAGGCCAAAGTATTTCCTGTGATACCTAAGGTTAATAAAGCTTCTAAGTTGTTACTGCTTTCCTGTAGTTCTTGTCACAACATACTTCCCATCAGTTCTAAGTTCTGGAAATGACCAGTTGGTTCCACAGATGCCTGAGATTAGGTTTTGGCCAGTACACAGGCAACCTGAAGACCTTGGCCTAGTGGACCTTGGGCATAAAGCATCACGACTGCTACACCTGAATCCAGCAACTTACTGCTGCTAGCTAGAGAATTCGAAGGCACAGAGCACCCCAGCCTTCATATTTAAGAGCCACATCTCCACCCCATCACAGCACCTGTATCAACACACCAAAATACCATCCCGGCAAAAGAAGAATCGCAACAGGGAACTACATCAGGACCCTGAACTCCAAGGGTGAAGGCTGTACTCAGGGAGCTTGGCTTCACACTGAATTCTGATTACCAGACAAGAGGCCATCACCGGTTAGGAAGTGGCTGAGGGAGGGAGACTGAAAGATGTCTTCCGGTACCCAGCAATCGATGGTGTTCTTGTGGATCTATCCACAATAGTACTAATGTGGCTCACACCTGTAATCCTGGCTACACAGGAGGCTGAGATCCGAGGATGGAGGTTTGAAGCCAAGGCAGACAAATCCAAACCTCGTTAACCAAACCCTAGAACCAAGAGAAGGCAATACCAGATAGCAGTTTCTGTGGTTTATTTAAGCACAAATAAAAGGTGTATGTGAGCCATCTACTCGTTTTCTTCACTGCGCAGCCTGGCGTTGGGATTGGTGACTCTGATGGCCAGCTGGGCTGCTCGTTCCACGATGGCTTTTCGGTTCTTGGAGGAAACATTGTGGGCGATCTCGGCGCAGTAAGACCTGGAAAAGAAGCGAGTTGAGGAGCAGCTGTTCACCACCACAGGGAGGCTCTGGAGCGGAGCTGTGGGGTCAGACCTGACCGCAGGCACGGCAGAGGCCAGCTTAGAAAACACTCAGAACCATGAGCCATGTGTCCCTCCTCTCTACCACCAGTGGCCACGGACTCCCAAGTCCCAGTACACAAGAGCAGGGCCGGGCTCTAGACACGAAGGTTCTCCCTCAGACTGATGAGATAAACTAACCCCTGACAGTCCTAAGGTGATTTCTAGGCCCCTCCAGTGAAGTTTCAAGCTCCACAAAGGCAGTGTGGTTAGCCAGTCCAGGCGGAAAGCAGCACGGCCGCCCGGATCCATCCCAACACCTGCTGCAGGGCAGGTCTGCCTCACAAGCCACGCCACAGCTGCCAGCTTCTAGACGCGCTGCACTACGCATCCCAGCCTCGTGAGAGCCACATCCGAAACACAGCCACCCCATTCTGCAGCACCACAATCACTGTGCTGGCACTCTAGCACCCACTAACCACCGCCCACGCTGTTCTCCTGCCTTCCAGACATGTCCACATGCCAAAGAAGTGTTAGCAACGATGCCGCCACACAAGTACTGAGTTATACATCTGAGAATTCTGCTTTTGATTTGCCATTAATTTCTACACTCACCCTTTCAAAAATTTCTAGTGTTTGCATGCCTGGTTAAGTGTTCAATCTAAAATCTGAGAGCACAGTCTTCCCTCACTGTACTACTTGTGTCTGTACCACCTGAGAAAGAAGAGATCCCAGTAAACACACCATGAGGCCATGAGCCATGTCCCTGCGTAGCAGAAAGGGAAGAAAACGCCTCCTCCCCCTCTTCATCCCACTGCTGGGGCCTGACCCGGGCACACTGGGAGCTTACTGTGTTCTACTGTGACGCACACATGCTCTCGCCCACCATCTCTGCGTCCACGGAGGCCATGCTTTCCACCAGCCTCAGACTGTACCGAGCCCCACAGCCAACCCTGGTGGCAGCCTGCAGGTGCCCCTGCCCAGCACAGAACCGGCGTCCCTGAGGTGTGAGACTGGCATCTCTCCTCCCCACAGAAAGTGTCAAAGGCTGCGCCAAAGGGTCAAATGAAGTCCTTGTCTTCCGCACCTGGACTTCTACTTTGTCCCTTCTCAAGCAGAGGAAGCATCTTGACCCCCAACGAACACCCGTGAGCCCAGAGCCGCTCTGACTCACTTGTTGCACATGAGCAGCACTTCCAGCTCCTTGACGTTGTGGACCAGGAACTTCCGGAATCCACTGGGCAGCATGTGCTTTGTTTTCTTGTTGCTCCCATAACCAATGTTGGGCATCAAGATCTGGCCCTTAAATCTCCTCCGCACCCTGTTGTCAATGCCCCTGGGTTTCCGCCAGTTACGCTGAAAGCAAACACACAGGTGGGTTGGTCTCTGCAAGCTGCCAACTGTTGCTTTCAGGAAGGGGAAAAAGGACTGAGTGAAAGGGGAAAATACCAAGCAACAACAGGGCTTCCTACAGCCAGGTAGGCTTCTTTGCGGGGGGGGGGGGGGGGGGGGGGAAGGCATGTGGCACACACCTGCAATCCTAGGTACTGAGGAGGCTGAGGTCCGAGGACTGCCATTCAAAGCTAGCCCAGGCAGACAAGCCTGACTCTCTCTCTCCAATAAACTACTTAGAAAAAGCTGAAAGTGACATTGTGGCTCAAGTGGTAGAGCACTAGCCTTGAGCAAAAGCAGCTCTGGGACAGAGAAGACTCAGGACCAGCGTACACACACCCAAATAAGAAGCTCCTGGCTCTAACCAGTACAAGAAAGCACAGCCTCGAATTCACTCGTCAGCATGGGAAGTAGAAGCGGGTGGGATGCCAGGGCAGGGCTCTGAATGCACAGCCAGAGTTCTTGAACCCGGAAGATGAGTGTCATCCCAAGGCCATCAGCAACACAGCTCTCTCCCCTGTAACCCCCCAAGGCAGCTCTTCAGTCCCAATTCACACGTTCAGACTTGGTGGGATGTCAGGAACACCAGAGTGCAGAACTTTCTTCACCTAGACATGCCTACCTTAATCTTGACATATCGGTCAGACTGGTGGCGGATGAACTTCTTGGTCCTCTTTTTGACGATCTTGGGCTTCACCAGAGGTCTGAGGGCGGCCATGATGCCACTGGGAGAGGGGCAGAGGCAGGTGAGCGAGTGGGGGACCAGAAGGGAGGCTTCCTGCCAGGACAGGAGTCAGCTATGTCGCAGAGTGTCTTCCAATCACCAGCTACTGAGCCAGCTGGGAATGGAATGGGTGTCTCTGCCAGCTTGCTTTCCCTCCTGTTTCCGAAGCTGGCAGAATACTAGCCACTCTCCAGACGCGATCCCAGGAGGTTCCCGTCACCTTCCCACTCCAAATCCCCGAGGGGGGTAAGGCAAACCGGGGACCACCAAGACAAGGCTCCCAACCCAGCGGCCTTTTCCGCTCAGTGGTCTCCCGGCTCTAGAACGGGGCGGCACAGGGTGAGATTCTACAGGACGGAGGCCCAGGGCAGTGGCTCACTGCTGATCCCTGCCTCTTGCTGCTGCTTCTGCGCGCAGCCTCCCACCTGGGAGCACCCCCTTCTCCAAAACCCGGCCTCAAGCAGGGACGCCCGTCAGACGCTCACCTCCCCCGGATGTGGAGTGGTGGCTCCAAGTGGAACTCGGGGACAGGGTCCAGGCCGTGAGTTCAGACCCCACGACCCGCACCCTTCCTCGGGCGGTCTCGCCGGCCCTCCCGGCCCCCCCGCGCATGCCGGTACTGGGCCTTCAACTCAGGGCCTGTGCACTTGGGCCCCTCTCCTCCCGGGTCACCAGACCCCCGTGGTCCGGCCTGAGGCAGCGCCACGGCCCTCCGGGCGTCAGACCAGAAGTCTGCCGCTCCGACTGACCCCAGGCGGCCGCCGTAGAAAGGCAAAGGGCCCGACGGGCGCGGCAGCGTCCGGGCCCCAGGCCGCCGCCCGCTTCCCAGCTCCCACGCGCGTCCCGGCAAGCCGACGGCCACAGAAGCCGCGGGGCCGCCGGCGCAAGCCCGCGAGGCCTCCCCTCCGGGGGCGCGGACCCCACAGGGCCCGCAGGAGGGCGGATGGGCAGCGATGGAGACTCACCGAGCAGGAGAGGGCAGCCACCTCCGGAGGCAGCGCCGAGGAAGAGGAAGGGGCGGGCGGCGCGCAAGGGCTGCTGGGACGGATCGGCGGGAGGAAGGGAGCGCACTTCCGCCAGGAGTGGAGGCCCAGTCCCGCTTTTGGCTTAGGTCCGGGGGCATCGCCTCCTCCACGTGCGCCTCCTGGTGGCCGGGAGGGAAAACGACAGGCTTCCTGGCTGGGCCTGCTGTGAACTTCCAGCCCTCCCTCAGCCTCTCCTGAGGCTCAGAGCTTTCTAAAACGGCCTCCCTGGCCTCTGATGCATAGGGCCTCCCTCATCCTCCTGTGTCCTTAAAGCCGTTCTAGATTAGTTACCATGTCTAATGCAAGGTGTCACCCTGTGCTGTTCAGATGACAAGAAAAGCCCGTACATGATTAAGACAGGTAAGAGTTTCTTCGAATATTTTCTGGGTTTTTTAATTTGGGGGTGGGGGGCTGTACTCGGGTTTGACTTCAGGGCCTGTACACTTGTCAAGCCTCTGACACTTGAGCCCCCACCTTCTGCCTCCACCCAAGAAGTGCCGCTCACTCAGCGCCCCCAGCGCTCTCTCTCCTGAACTACTGTGAAGTGGCAGCCGGGTTGTGCCAGACTTGTAGACTGGGCTGGTTTCAAAGTACAATTCTCAGATCTCAGGCTCCTGAGTAGCTAGGATAACAGGCGTGAGCCACCTGTGCCTGGCAAGAATAAGTTTTAAACTAGGCAGTTTAGCAGAATGGTCATGAGACCAGAAAAGGAGGGCTGGGAGAAGGAGCCAAGCATTCAGCTATTCAAGCTATTCGTGACTAGCTTGACTGAAAGCACAAACTGTGCTGTCTTAAATTTCATTCATCCCTTGAGGAGCTACAGCTCTCTTTCTCTCTCTGACCTTTGCCCACTTGCCCAGATGATTACTATGTTCTGGAAGCTGACTGACTATGTTAAAGAAAACACATTTCATGTGTGAATGGGATGTGAGGAGAGAGGAGGGCGGTGCCTATTGGCCACTGCATATGGAGACTTGGGCTTGAGGTGGTGTCGCTGGCAAGCAGAAGGGTTGGGACCTGAACTCTGTCAGGTCTGGGACTACCCTCTACTTCAAGAATGGGACATGGAGTATGGAAGCCTGTTGTTAATGGCAACCCACAAGATGCTGTCAAGGGAAAGGTTTTGACGGAGTCAAGGCTTAGGAACCTGAGAACCTGACTTCATTTCCTAAGACCCAAGAGATTTGGCTCAGTCATCAGGGATAAGGCGCTCATGCCAACTCATTCTACAGAGGAGGGCCCAGGACCCCCTGCCAGTGTCCCCGGCCACCGCCTGCTGAAGCTCCATAGGTTCAGGAGGCCCCGATGCTCCCCAGCCAGAGCCCCGAGGAAGACAGCACACCAGCCACAGGAGAAAAATGCCACCATAGTTTATTGTGAAAGGAGAGGGAAACCATGAAAACCTGTGTGTCCTTCCCAGATCTATCTAGACACTTTGGGGGTGCTCAGGGGGGAGCTGGCCCCAGAGCAACCACAAAACAACTTCTGTGGTCTGACTCTTTGACTCATGGGTCTAGCATTATGGGACAGGGTACCCCACCTCTGGCCTGGATGGCGGGGTACAGCAGCCTCTCTAGTTGATGAAATATACTTTCGTAGCGTCATAATGGCCATAGGTAATGTATTTTCTGTCCTTCAGCGGCCACCAGCGGTCAGAGTAGCTGGCAGGGTAAGCGCGAGGCTTTTCTTGGACACAGCTGAAGATCGCCAGCCTTCCATCTTCCTTGGCCATAAGCGGCAGGTAGAGGCGAAGCTTATCTAGCAGATGACCAGGCCAAAAGGAATTGGGGTGGGTGAGCTGATGACCGTCGGTCCTCTTCTTTAATTTCCTGGAAAGAGAGAAGACACAGGGAAGATGGGTCACATCAGCTGGGGCCCAAGAGGAGACCGGCAGTGTGCTGATCAGTGGGCCGCTGATGAGGACCCGAGGTCTGGAGAGGCTGCTGTGGCCCTGGGGACGCAGGTGAGGGCAGGTGTGACCCCCAGAAGCGGCCTCCAATGCCCAAACCCACGGCCTGCCTCAGTGTGCTCTGGAGTTTGAACTCAGGACTCTGGAGTTATTATTATTATTGTTGTTGTTGTTGTCAGTTGTGGGACTTGAACTCTGGGCTTGGGCACTGTCCTTCAGCTCCTCTACCACTTGAGCCACAGTGCCACTTCTAGCCTTTTCTGTTTATGTGGTGCTGAGGATTCAAACCGAGGGCCTCATGCATGCCAGGCAAGCACTCTACCACTGAGCCACCTTCCTAGCCTTTGCTCTGGTTATTTTTTGAGATAGGGTCTTGATTTTTTTTGTCTGAGCTAGCCTAAACTAAGACTCTTCTTAGTCACACTTCCTGCGATAGCTAGAATGCCAGGTGTCCACCATTCTGCCCAGCTGTGTGTGTGTGTGTGTGTGTGTGTGTGTGTGTGTGTGTCTGTGTGTGTGTCTGTGTGTGTGTGTGTGTACCAGAGTTTGGTCTCAGGGCCTGGAGTTCTCACTTGGCTTTTTTCCCCATTCTTTTATTGTCAGTTTGAACTCAGGGCCTGAGTGCTGTCCCTGAACTCTTTCCACTTTGAGCCACAGCTCCACTTCCAGTCTTCTGGTGGTTAATTGGAGAAAAGAGTCTTAAGGACTTCCTTGGCTGGGCTGGCTTTGAACTGCAATCCTTAGACCTCCTCCTCTTGAGTAGCAAGGATTACAGGCGGGAGCCACTGCACCCGGTCCACTTGGCTGTTTTGCTCATGTCTGGACTCTGCCACTTGAGCCTCACCTCCAGTCTGGTATTTTGTTGGTGAATTGGAGAAAAGTCTCATATACTTTGTTGCCTTGGCTGGCTTCAAACCTTGACCTAAGCCCACTGGATCTTTCCAACTTTTTGTCTAGGCTAGCCTTGAACTTGGGTCTTTCCCATCTCTGCCTTCCGAGTAACTCGGATTTGACCACTCCCAAACTCTAGAAGCATTTTCTTGTGCTGTGTGGAGTCTCGCCTCTGGACCCAGCCTCGCTGGCTGGCCATTTGCCAGTTTCACTTCTGGAAAATGGGATGCTGAGAGGTCACATGATGTCACTCCTGGGAATCATACAAGCAGCGCCTGCCTGGTGCCGGCCTCTGGGCGCTGGCTGGGGGCGGGGTGGGGGGAGCGGTCGCTGGACTGGGCTAGGAGCCCCCACAGAACCTCCCTGGAGCTGGAGTGAGGCCAGCCTGCCCTCTCGCCTCCTTCCCAATGGGGTGAGATGCTACAAACCCCGCAAAGTCTTCAAACTCTTTGAAGTCCATTTTCTTCATCTTTTTTGGTGTTTTCCTAATGGGGAAGAGAAAGAGGACATTTTGTTAGAGGGGGAAATCTAGGCTAATGGAAACTGGAGATAATAGGAGACTGGTTTCTTTTCATTATTGGGGGGGGGCTTGAAGTCAAAGCTTTGGTTGATTGGTTCAGATTTCTGTTTACAGCTAGCACTCTACCACTTGAGCCACATTTCCAGCCTCAGCTTCTAGCTAGGTAATTGGAGATAGGTCTGAGGAATGTCTCCCCCACCCCCGCTGGCTTCCAAGCCTCACCCCGTGAAGTAGCCAGCCACCAGCACAGAGCCGGAGTGTTTCTGAGTCTTCTTTCTTTCTTTTCTCTTTCTGAACTCTGAGCCTGGGCGCTGTCCCTCAGCTCTTCAGCTCAAGGCTAGCGCTGTACCCCTGGAGACATAGCACCACTACGGCTTTTTCTGTTTAGGTGGTGCTGAGGAATCGAACCCAGGGCTTCATGCATGCTAGGCAAGTACTCTACCACTGAATCACCTTCCCAGCCCCTCTGGGGTGTTTCTTTAGCTCTGTTTTGATGCATGGGATGGAACTCACACTAAACATGTGCTCTAATCCCTGAGCCGCCCATAGTAGCACAGCCTTAGGATCTCCCACTTAATCTTAGGTAGTCAGAGAGAGCCAATGTCTTTCCTTGAGCGAGGAGACCTTTCCCCCTTGGAGCTACGGCTGGCCAAGTGCAGGCAAAGATCCCTTTCCCAGGTCCCTAGCCACTTCCTGGGTCACAGAGCTCAGGAATTAGTGCCAGACCCCCTTGGGATGGAAGACAGTCACCAGGTGACCTGAAAGGCTCTGTGCTAACTGCTTGCCGGCTCGCACTGAAGCTCAGGTCTTCACAGCCGGCACCGGCAGCAGGTCTGGCCCACTGATGTACGTGGGAATACCTGGACCAGGGCAGAGTAGACCCACGGACGCACTCCCTGACCTGACCGGCGCTGTCTGTGCTCCACCCCACTGCGCACGCGCGTGAGGAACCCGCATCCATGAAGACACCGAGCTCACGGCGGCGGCGGCGGCGGGTACCAGGTGCGTTAAGCAAAAGGCTTGTCTGTCTCCACAGAGCCTTCTGCCACACCGCCCCGGGCAGCTGGCAGTGGTCGCAAGCGCTGGGCAGGCCCGGGGCTCCCCTCCACCCAGCCGCCACCTTGGCCCCCCATCCACAGTCAGCAGTCACGGTGCCCGCAGGCCTGCCGCACCCCAGGAGGCCACAGTTTTTAAAGAAGACTTGGGTTGGCCAAGGGTCAGGGTAAGGCCCAGGGCAATGTTTCCTCCTTCCAGAGGCAGAGCCACCCAGCAGAGGCAGGACTGCCCCGCTGTCCTCCGCAGCGCCCCTGTGGGGGACTCAGGATGGCGCTCACTCGGGCCTGCGGAGGTGCAGGGTGTGGTCACCCCGGGTATGCCCTGGTCCTAAGGCCGGCATCCGAGGTGACACTAGTGACCAGCCGATCCAAAGCGGCAGGCTGGGAAACACATGACACCCGGTGGCTGCCAGCAGAAGGGACAGCGAGGGGCAGGCGGGCGGGCGGGGAGGCCAGGGGCGGGGAGGCCAGGGGCGGGGAGGCCAGGGGCGGGAGCCCGCCGCCCAGACACTCAGCTTGTCCATCTTCTTGGCTTTGCAGAGGTCCTGGGCCTTGAGGACAGCCGCACTCAGAGGGTAGAGGAGCCAGTCCTTGTAGTATCCTCCAGGCTGCCGGATGGGGATCACTTGCTC